CTCTTCCTTGCCCTCCCACTCCCCTTGTGAAAGGAAAGGGGCAGAGATCAAACTAGTCCCTCCTTAAGCTGTTTGCTCCACTTCTGATGCAGAAAAGAGGCCACCTTGAGGACTGTGGACACTGCAGACAAACCTCTCTGCAGAAGCCTGGAAACACAGGACTTCAGGTAATGGTCACCCCTTCCTCTATCAGCCTCCTCTGTAATTCCCAGTCTCTGCAGCTGAAGGGATGAAGCTGTGTGATCCAGGTTTATGGACTGCATCAACTCCAGCATGGCCGGTGAAGCGCAAGGGTGGCAGTGATAGTTACTACCGCAGCTGAAACCCGCTCACAAAGGGAGATCGACCGAGACCAGTTCTCTGCAGAGAGGTTCTGGGGAGTCTGTGAAAAGCAGGATTCTGGTGGAGAAAGCAGAACTAGCAGAGAAATCAGCAGATGGGGAAAGTCAGCCCCAGCAGCATGCTTGGGGAGCCCTTTCCTAGAAGCCAAGTATCCTGGAAGGGGATGGGAAGGAGAAAAGAAGACTTCCTGGCTATTCCTGTCCTTTTCCCCTCCATCCTATTGACCAGAGGAAAGAGCAAGGGAGAGATTTTATTTCTGGGAATGTAATTGTGAGATGATAGTTTGGGCAGGGTTGGGAATGCTCCGTCTAGAGGGCTGCAGTTACTTGAATAGCTGTGGTATGATCTGATTGTACTACAGAGAGAACGGAGCTTGCAGCAACCAAACCCAGAAGTTTCCTCAATAAAATCTCTCTTTATTAAAATACAATACTTTCTAATAACTACAATACAGCATCAAGAGCAGCACTTGGAGCTAATGGCCCACATGGGAGCTGTCTGGGAACATTTGCCAGAGGCTATTCGATAACAGCAGTGATAATCATGCTACCAATGTCTTTAAAGCCAACAGTCCTCACCTATAGAGCTGGACATCTCGGGCTGTAACAGGCTGCAATTAATTGGGTTAGCTGCTTAATACACAATAGCCCAATGTTTGCTGCTGAGCTCCACCAAGCCCTGTCCTTTTGTTATCTTTCCTAATCCATATCCTCTCCCATGAGGCCACTAGTCAGTTGTTATCCAATATTATCCAATAACAAAGAGGTAAGGCTGTGTCCTTTCTGCTTTGAGAATTGCATCAGACTCAGTCCCTTTTGCTGTGCTCTGCCCTCAGCAGCTCGCCCACTTGGATCAGGATTGGAGAAAGGAGGCAATAAAACCCCAGCTAGATATTCAAGTCTCTATAGAGAGCAATCCATTGCCACCACAGGTTTAAATCCTGCAGGAAAGAAAAAGAGTCTGAAGTCCAAGCAGCAAAATTGAACATACCAACAGCTCTAATTTATTGATGGCTTAGTTGGTTTAGTCTTCTGCAGGAGATGCCCCATTCCAAGAACCTTCTAAGAGACCTAGAAACAGGTTCCAAAACTGGTAAAAAAGGACTGGGGAAGGGAAGGAAATGGAAAAGGAAAGGAAAAAGGAAAGGAAAAAGGAAAGGAAAAAGGAAAAAGGAAAAAGGAAAGAGGAAAGGAAAGGATTACAGTTTGGGGAAGGAACCCTCCTCACCCCAAGGGATGATTCATACTTAACTGGTCAACCAGTCTCGACCCTGTCTCTGCTCTTATATTGTCTGCTCTTATATTATTGCTCAAGAGCTGAGGGAGCCAACAACATTTTATCCCTAATTTAAATCAAGGCTTTACCATTACCAGGATTTAAACCAAGTGGTTTTCCCAACTAGCCTTTTCTCCAGGGAAGCACAGCAGACAGGCTCCCTGTCACAGCCTCCCAAGGCAGTTCAGGAGAGGGCTTTCAAAGCAGCCTGAGCTGCAGTCTGCAGTTGGGAAGTGGATGAGAGCTTGTGTAGGCAAACCCTTACACAGGAGAATGGAGATCTCTAAGCACAGATGAGGCCAGCAGTTAAGCATGGACTGCTGCACCACATTTAACCACTGGCACTCACCCATGCGAGGTGGCAATCAGTTCTGCAGCCAAGTGTGTAAGCTGTTACTCTTCACAAGACTGCCAACAGCTCGATGCCTCTGGAAGCCCTCTGATGCCATCAGCCCCACTCCACCTGGAGACACAGATCCACCCTCTGTGCTCCTATGAGTCCTGACAGGGAAGCGCCTCGCCATGCCAGCCTTGCTTCCAAATGAGCTCTCCACGATCAGCAAGCCCAGACAGTAAGAGCCCATCTGTCTGTAGTACAGCACTTGGGCTTGCAAACTCCTCCTACTTTCCCCTTTTAGAGGCTTCAGAAGTGCTTGTCCTGGCTGTTCCCTTACCCTGGGAGGAAAACCACAGCTAGATGAAGGGCTGATCCATTGCTGCATCTCCATGTTCTTTGAGCTGTCCAGATCCCAATGTTTAAGACTGTATTTTTCAGAGGCAGAAAGACATTTTTCTTGTCCATGAGGTGTGGAGAGAGACCGTAGGTTTTGTTAGCTGATGTGCTGTTTGTGATGAGCATGAGGCTCTGGAAAAGGCTAGTGACATCTGATTATCACTTAGATCAGGAGAAAGAGGGAAAGCAACTTTCAAAGGCAAGGCTGACACTGTTACAAACACCGGCAGAAATGACCTTCACACACAGCTAGCTCTCCCTGCTGCCAAGAACCATCCTCTCAGCCACTGTCATCTGAATCAGTAGTATACCTGGGGCAGTGCAGCTTTTCATCACCCACTGCTGCTACGAAATCCAGGGGCTTTTCTTTCACCAGGATGGGGAAAAGCATGTACAGTAGGTCCTGCAGCAGGCACATTGCAAAGCCTGCACTGACCTCCCAGCCCAACCAGGCTGGATTCTTTCAAATCATGATGCAAAACAAGCATCAGCTTCCCATCCACACCAGGCCAGCGAGCACAGGTAAGCTGAATAAACCACTGTCCATGTGGGAAGTTGCTACCCAGCACAGCAAACACGTAGGCTGGCAGCTCCAGTGTTCAGTTCTGCTGCTCAGAGAGCTTTGTGGAAGATTCACCTTCAGCCCCACATGGCTAAAACTGACTAAAGGAAGATGAATGAAACACCACAGCAAAACAGAGTCCACATCTGGCCTTTGGCTTTCAAGGCAGGAAAAGGAGCCCACAAAACACCATCCAAGACCATTCTAAGCTCTCTCAACACCAGGAAAAGACCAATCCATGTTTAACTCACGGCCCTGCTTTTAGAGGAGTGGACATCAGTGATGTGAGGACATGGGAGAAGTCAGCTTGCTAAATCCCTGCAGTTATGGGATCCATCCATAGCCCGGAATGTGCAGCAAGATCTTTGTTCCTGTTCCCTTCACCACGTGGCTGTTTGATAAATTGTCTTCCCTAATAAATCTATCCCTCATTGTACACATACGGAATCCATTGCTCTAAGTAGCCACTGAGGTGCTGTCAGGGTCATTAAATATCATTATCTGGGGCAGCTGTTCCCCAGTGTGCTGATGCAGGAATCAATCAGGCTAAAGCATGAATTTCCCCTACACTTCTCCAAACACTGCCTTTGTCTCTCTCCATCAAGAGATGAAAAAGAGAAACAGTTCTGCCTTTACGCCAAGGTTTAGCAGTCCTCATACTGAAAGGAGCCTGCTAAAGGGAAACCAATGGCAGATCAGGCAGAAATCAGGTTGTCACAGAGACGGGATGAGGTCTGACTGATGTCTTTACCAGGAAAGAGGAGGCAGGGTGGCTGGAAACAGGCCAGGGAGCTGAGCTTACTCGTTGTTAAAAAACAAAGCCAAAGCCCCTCTTTTAATGGCCCTCAATGAACTAACCTCCTTTTCTGAAGAACACTGGGGCTTTCTGACCTTTTGTATGCTCAGACAACAAAAGGAATAAACAGACATTAAGGGTTTTCACACCATCTGAGGTCAGGATTTGTTAACTCAAGCTGTTCAGCATCTGAGACTTGAGGGCTTAAAATCCAACCTCATTTCCATGGGTAATAACTGCTTAATCTCAAATGTTGTCTAGAACAGATCTTTTCCTCTGCAGTGACTGCCAGTCACTTCCAAACAGGGTCACAGGCCTCTGAACTCACAGAAAAGGGACAATATCCAGCTGAAGTCAGGTCAAGTGTATATGTGTGGTGGGAACTGGTCTGAGAAGCAGCTTTTCTTCCTATTCCAGGTCAGTGATATGCATAAACAGAGCTAATTCTGTGTTTGAATGGTCTGGACCCACAAACCAGGAGACTCTCAACCTGCAGAAATGCTGCTGGTGCTGTAACACCTTCTCTGTTAGCCCTGAATATCAGTTACTCTGTCCAGGTTACAAAAGACAAGAGAAACCTCAACATAAGCCTCCTTAACACACATCCTGCCCTCAGCCTTTAAGGACATGTACATATACAAGCCAGATGTGAGGCAGCTGCACATCTGGATGGCAAAAGCACTGAGGGATAGAGAAAAGTAGTGATGTCTTATTTCATGAAGGAAATTATCTGTCTTCCCAGAAGTTCTTGGCAGGATGATTTTGGAGAGAACTCATGCATAGTGGAGGTTCCCAAGCACAACACACATTGGTCTGGGGGTTTCCAATGCAGGACATCCTATGCTAAAGCAAGGCCCAGGAATAAACCATGCAAACAGATGATATAACTGAAGGTGGAAAGTCTGACAGAAATGCCTTTTGTTCTTAGATCAAAATAAAGATTCTTCAAGCTCTGCTGCACACATGCTGAGAATGAAAAACTTGCTGCTGAACAGCAACTGGTGGGTATCATGGTCAGCCCCCACAGGAAGCTCTTCCAAATCCCTTCTGCCTCTCACACAAAGCAGATTAAAACTTCATCTACGAGCTCACATCTGATTGAGAACAATTTGTTTGGTTTTAATCAGAAATTTCATCCTAGAGCAAAAAGCCCTTTCCTCAAAGATTTATCAGGCCTGGACAATCCTCAAAAGAGGTTGTTATTTAATGAGAACTTGCTTCTGAACAAGCATATCCTGCGTTGTTGTTGTGCCCCAGGTTCCATCTATGGTAAAGAGGTGGCCAAGACTCACCTATCCATCTCATGAGGGACGTCATGATTTGAAGATACTTGGTCTTCTGCACATTGAAGAAGGTGAAAGGACCAAGGAGGAGAGTGAACGCTGCCTGGAAGCACAACAGAAAACACACAAGTTAAACCCCTAAAATTCTGTTAGTAAGATCAATTCACCAGTAAAACAAAGCTTGTCTTGCAAGTTCATCTCCAGACATGTCTCTTTGTCATGGAGCTTGCTTTCCTGCTTAATTTTACAGCTAAGTTGGCTGAGACACAGCAGGTCAAGCAAGCTGCTTGGTATCAGAGAACATGCCTTGGGCGCGAGTAGAGCACAAGATCCTCTTGGCTCTCAGCCTCTTGCTATCACTGCTCCAGCTCTCCTTTACTGACACATTTTAGTAAAAGCTCTCAGGGCAGCCTTATGGAACATGAAATATTAAACTGTGGCCTCTTTGCCCAGGTACATGCTCAGTTTAGGTCTGAATAGCAACAGCCATGACCAGATTGCTGGCATTAACATTGACTAAGGAGCACAAGCTCAACAGCAATGGAGCCAGGTCTGCCTGGAAAACATTGTCTTCCCCACACTAGGTTGCTTGTTTTACAGCAGGAAGCCACAGGATAACAGTTAAGCAGTTGACTTGGAAGCTGAAAACCTGTGCAAAGTGAGGGAAAAAATAAAGATACTCATAAGAACAAACTTCACTCAGTGTGAAAATTAAAGCTACTGTCAATGGAGACAGATCTTTACTCACTGCCCTCTTAGATGTATATGAAGAGACCAGCATTTCTTAGCAAGTTCGTCTCTGCCTGGGCACTGAGCACCACTCAAGCCCTACCTGCTTCAGTCAGAAGGGAAAAGACTTTACTGCAGGAAGGTAACAGACCTTGACTGAGGTCTGAAAGTGACCTGAGAGAAGCTACGTGTGACAGGGAGACAAAATGGGTTTAGAAAAGAGAGCCCTGACTGTTATCCATGGGATGCCAAGGGCTAGCAATATACTAGCAGATCCAAAAGCTATAAGCAAGCAGTATTGAGAGAGTCACAGCACACACAGTACAATTTGTTGAGCATCTCAAAGGGATTTTTAAAGACAAATATTCAACATTAATATTTACACGTTGCTCTTTTCCATGACTTCTTCAAGCAGTTCAAGAAAAGGTGTCACCAGAAGGGAAGAACTGGGACTCAAAGGGGCAGACTGCAGAGCCTCAAGGTCTCCGTCGACCCCAACCGAGTCAGCCACAGAACAGAATCCAAGCTATTTTAAGCCTGGTACAACCCCAAGAAACCTTTTTTGAGACAGTTTCAGGATATCTGCAAGGCAAATTGGCATTGCCTCGCATCACAAGTATTCTCAGACAACCGAATTAAACCCAGAAGGGGGCCAAGAGGAGAGAACTGTTGGTTTCACACGTCGCTCAGCGAGGATGTATTCTGATCTGAGGCCATCATTTACACCAAGTGGTGGTTATTTGGTGGGGAGGGCAGGGGAAAGAGGGACAGAAAGGGACAGAAAGCATGAAAAGAATTCAGATTTGTGAAGCAACTGAGGATCCTTGGAGGAAATGCTGAAATCAAACAGAATACATCACCCACCACAGGCACAACTGGCAAGACTAAGAGCTAAACCAGCCTTAACAGATAAAACACTTTCAGTAACACACAGAAGCAAACCAGCTTTTTACTCTTCTCCCTCTTGCTCCTTTCTTCTAATCTGGAGCTTAACTCCACTTTCCTGCCACCCTCTCCTGCCCTCCAAGACTGCCATTCCATCCTCGGATAGTGCACAAACCCCAAAGGAGCAAATAAACTTTAGACTAAAGAGGGATGTAGGTCAAGGACCCAGAGTCAACTCTCTTACTGGAAATTATTCTTGAGTTTGTGACTAATCTCTCTCAACATCCTCTCCCAACACACACTCTCTGCTCAACACAGCTTCCCTTCAAATCACGTTAATAGCTCATGCGTCAGAAAGAGCTGAAACAAAAAGAGGCAGACGAGGGATGGTGATGATTAAGGGACAGGTGTCTTCTGCAAATTAGAATGCACCAGAACCAACTGGCAAAACAGCATCTCAAATCATGGCAAGGATTGACACAAGATCACTGAGCACCAGAGCAGCTGGGTCTGAAACCTGGAGTTGTCTTAAGCACCAAGGAAAGAGCTGTGTTAAGGTGGATTTGGGGCTTTGATGCTGAAAAGCATCAAAAGCATTCTTAGGTGCTGGAAGAACATGGGTCTCCTACATGCTCCCCAACATCTGCTAATGAAGCTGAAAGAATTCCTCTGGGTGTTATGTTCCACTTTCTGCAGTTATTCTCCAGTGGCCAAGGCAGCTTAAACTACCAGATCCATTCAGCATCTCTCAACCCTCTTCCTCCTCCTCCATGGCTTTACTGCTCAGCTATGGGGAAGAGATACCCTCCCATCCTTTAAGATGATCAGTGTCTTGTGTTCTTAACAAGATCCTGGAGCAGGGCCAAAGGAACCAAGTGGGAGATGAATTCAAGTGCAATAGAAATTTATTACCTTTTGCACTCGACACCCATTAGTGATCCAAGATGGATATCCATGGATCAATACAAACAATGCTAAGGCCTGCAATGAGATGAGCTTGCCCTACTTTGCAGGGATTTGTGCCAACCACTTTTAAGAAGGGAAGCCACAGCACTCACTGGACTGCTTGAGAGGAGAAAGGCAGAAGAGGACAGTGAATAGGCAGATGAACATCACTTTGGTATGAAATGGTGCACAGCTCTAGAGGATTTCCTGTGGGTCAGGGAAGAGAGGTCTATTCCTCACCAATAGCCATGACACGAGGGACAAGGACTCAGGCCTTAGATTAGAACCAATCCCACTGTCAACCCTCAGAAGAGTCCCAAGGCCAGCAAGCCTATTTAAAAACACATCCCCAAAAGGATGAGACCACAGTGCTTAGAAGGAGGATGTCTACTTTCTCTATCTTGCTGTGCCAGACATTTAAATGCTCTTCTGACCCATCCAAGTTCCTTAGTTTCCTAACTTCTCCCTAAGGAAAAAAGTAAGCCTGAATAAGATCCTCAGACATATACCCAAACTTTCCACCTGATGTTTTCCAAGCTCGTCTCCCCTAGAGGGATGTAATTTAAAGTGCTTCATTACACACTTAATTCAAACATTCTAAAACCTACATAAAAACTGCACCAGTCAGCCCTGCCAGAAATCAAACACACAGAGCTCCAGCACATCTAAAAGCTCTCCCAAGTTTTTCCAGTTCACCTCTTGAGCTAGCTGAGATGTTTTCAAGGAGTTTATCATTCTTTTCCTAAGAGGCAGAATGAGCAAAGTCTACTTTGATTAAACATTTTTCTACTAGTGAAGTGGTTTCCTATTAGAAACAAGCAGGCATCCGTGGCTGATTCATTGCTGAAGTCAAGGTAAGGGAATCCTCCCTTCAGCTAAAGAGGATCAGATCTACTAAATGTTTATGTTCAGAGGATGGCACAGAGAAACCTTTACTGTGTTTTTGCTATTAAGCATAGTTCCCTAATTTCTCTCCAAGCTCCTCCATTAAATGGGAAAGGCCAGACAAGGTACCAGGCTTGCTACAGAGCGTATGTGGAACCCCACACAAAAAATAAATGCAACAGGCACGAAATTCTTTATTTTCATCTTGCTTTCTCATGCTGTAAACCAGCATAAAGATCCAGCACATTAGTGACCAAAAAACCCAGTGTTTTTCTCACTTTTAATAACATTTCCAGTCAGAAAAATAGAAGCCAGCAAGCACAGAGGAAAGAACAGCAGCCTGTCACCCTGAATTACACTCTTCTCTGCAGGCCAGTAGGAGCCACAAGCATCACTCCAGCTTGCTCAACCTCTGGGAGGGTCTTCAAATCCAGTCCTCCCACCAAGCCAAGCCACAGCAGCACAGGCACCAAGGTTTGGGATCTACTCTGGGTTGGCAACTCAGGTGACACCACTTCCCCAGCCTCTGCACCCATCAGCTCTTGGTATTTCAATGCAAAAAGCAGGCTGGTCAACTCGAGCCTTCTTGCCACGGGGGAAACAAGCAAACCAGTGCCTGGAATATATTTTTATATACATTTTGCTAAAAGTGTATTTTATTAAAGCTCTTATGTTAAAACTTGGTTACATAAGGTTATGTATTGGCTTATCTTAAAAAAGCAAAAGTACAACCACGTGTTAATAGGACATCTGGCTGGGTTTATCAGCTTAGCTTCAGCCAAGAGGACCACCAAGAGAGCTCTCAACCACTAAGTGGTGGCCAGCTAATGCCAAGAGCCTTTCAGACCATACAAACATGCTTTAAGCTAGTCAGAGGGGTGTATTGACCAAACAGGTTCCTTATTGGCTTGAAGGGTCTATCTGTCACTCTGAACCAGTACAGTTCAATAGCTTTCATCTGCTTCCCAGCATGCTGCTTTCACAGAAAAAGCCAATACAGCTCAGGAAGCACAATTAGCATCCCAAACAGAGCTGATTCATGTATTAGATGCAGTAGTTACAGCATTATGGCTAGTGCCTGCATACATTTGCAAGAGGGCCATCTTAAAAGCAGCTTCATTCATAACTGTCATCGGAACTTGCTTGTTTTCATGCTCCACAAAGTCATGGGGAAGAACTGCATCCGTCTCTGGCACTTGCTGAGTAGTGAATTAAAACCAGTAGCTACTGTTTGTTGATTCAGAGCCTGGAAATTTTCAGACAGGCTGAGTAGAAGCAGAGTAGTTACCTGAGCAAAGTGAGACCATGAGGATTAACCTTGCTAAATGCAGCAAATACACTAGGAGCAGAGCAAAAAGAGTTTGAGAGTTTAATAAATGCATTTGTGTGGCACAGGGCTAGCATAGCAATGCAAAGTTAATACAACTCATATCAGGGCAAGGAACCCTCAGTTTTAATATGATGATGGTAAAGAAGTGGTGTAGTGCTCACTCCTTAAATATCTCCCTTTGGACTGAGGCCCCAGCTACCCTTCCTTTTTCTCTCCTCCTCCCAAGCCTTCCTCATCCTCATTCAAAACCATAACTCATCCCAAACTAAATCCTTCCTTGGAGGCCCTTGCTTGCCCTTGAGAGAAGTACCAACATATCAGAACAACTT